AAAAATGATTTATTAAAAAAATCCAACATCCAGCGTTTCCGCAATCAGTAGTTTGTCATTCACACCCTTATCATCATTGCGTATTCTAAGATGTAATAGACGAAATCACGTAAGAAGGGATTTGATCCAAAATACTTAATAGTCATTTCACCTTTATTGGTTGCTTGTAAGGATGTGAATTTGTAACTTCTCGCGTCGTAGGAGACATTTAGGCGGAGCATCTTATTGCTTCCCCATCCTCTGCAGATAAGCGGCTTTTAGTTGATAATTCATCTGAACAAACACGACATTTTCTTAGCCAGTGTTGCCCAGATTGCCTCAAAGTTGGGCCAGAATTCCCGTTTTTCGTTCAGTTATTAGATATGTATGAGTTTCACCAGTTAAAATCATGAAAACAAATTGGTGACGCTAAAAAAATTTTAATTTTATTCAGCGCTAAATAACATACGATCCAGCATCACGTAATCCAGAACTTGTGGTAGACCAAAAATAGATCAATTCGAAAATAATAATAAAGTTATTACGTATAAACGGTAATGTTATAATATATCAGTTATAAGCTATAAACACAAATAAAAATTTAAGAACGTTACTTAAATCAGCGAAATTGGGCGTGTTCGAGTTGTACTTGGTACGAGAATCCACAATTGTAGGTAATTAATAATCCCAATGGGATTGTTATGGTTCCAGTAATCTAGCCAAACGTAGAATATAATGTAAATGCGACTGCAGTCCATAAATGTAAATATTAGATTATTTAGAGTTGTTATCATAACCACAAGTAATAGAGAACGAATTCCAAGGAGTACGAGTGGTAGTGCGTCACTCTACTTCGATGTATCAACCTGTGCCACCAGAGAGCTTTCCAATTGGCGGTGAAATCTTCGACCAGACCATTAGATACTGGATGCTAAACTGTCGTTTCGATGTGGTTCACTGCGAGAAGTTTGGAAAATTCCTGCAATAGGATGGATTGAAACTGAGGAACACAGTCTGTAGTGATCATGGATGGTACTCCATAATTTGATATCCAGAGATCGAGAAAAACTGCTGTGACAGTTTCTGCTTATATGTCTTTGATGGGGCATGCTATCGCCCACCTGGTAAATCTGTCTACAGCGGTAAGGATATGTGTGAAGGAATTTCATGGTGCAAGAGGAGCAACTATATCTAAATGTACATGCTGGAAACGTCTATCAGGTAAATAAAATGTTTCAATAGGGATGACTGTGTCTTTGAACCGTGCGGCGTTGACACTGCATGCAGCTTCGTGTCTATCTTTTTATATCCGAGTTAATTTTGGGCCAGACAAAGCGTTCAGTAATGAGTTTGGTTGTGACCCAGATGCCAGAGTGTGAAAGTTCGTGCAGTTGTTGGAATATACGTCGTTGACAGGTTTCGAGAATGAAAGGACGGTTGTTGCCGGTTAAAACATCACAGATAATAGATGAACCGAAGAAAGGAATATGTACAGATTTGAGGATCAAGCTAGACTTCTCTTTGCAGGTTTTTAGTTCTGCATCGTCTACTTGTAATTTAGCTATGGTTTCAAGACTAATGTCGTGTTTCTGCACCAGCATGTTGATATCCTTTCTAGATAAGGCATCTGCGACTATGTTGGAATGTCCTTTGATGAACTAGTTGTCTGTAGTGAATTGTGAAATATAATCCAGTTGTCTTGCTTCGCGTGGGGAATTTCTGTCGTACAACGCGTTAAGAAAGTAGCATAAGGATTTATGATCCGTCATTATAATGAAGTCGCGTCCTCGTAACAGGAAGTTGAAGTGCTTTACCGCTAAGTATATAGTTAGTAATTCTCGTTTGAAGGTGCTGTAACGTTGCTGTACAGGCGACAGTCGTTTGGAAAAAAATGCTATAGGTGTAATGACGTCGTAGGTTGGAAGAAAGCTAGGGGCGGCCAAACCAAAACATGGCACAAGTCCATGAAGTCACTGACAAGTGAACTGAGTCATGTTGGTAGGTGTAGACTACCTGGTTGGGGACCGCGAGATGATAGCAACCGATGGTTAGAGACTCTGAATGACATGGCTCAAAATCGTTTGCAATGGCGCAGGTGCATCCACTCTCTGTGTTCTCCCAAATTCTAATCTTCTGAATCCTTCATGTCCCTTTTTTCGTCTTTCCAAATTTATTTCACTGGATTATACTCTTTAAATAACATCTCCAAACCCTAATCTTCCCGATTACTGCTTATACTCTTATTACCTCTACCACTACGGGATTCGAATCGACAACTGCATCTCTGTGCTAATGTGGTGTGGCAACTCGAACTGATGTACGTACGTACGAAGTTCTACGTTGTTACTGACTGACTGACGTCGTTGACTCGTTGTTGTACTACTGCCCTTGCAGCTTTTTGAGATGCGTCATTGCATAGAATTAGGTGAGTCGTGGGGTCAGTATTTAGGTGCTGTAGCATAGTAGCGTTGGATATCATAGATTTTACTCTCTCGAATGCCGTTTTGGCGTCAGGAGGCAACATGTGGATGTCCTTCTTTGGCTTCGCTTCCTTTTTATCCAGCTTCAGCAAATCCGTTAAGGGTTGTAACATATCTGTAAATTTAGGTAGGAAGCGTCGATAAAAGTTGCACATCCCGAGGAATCGACGTAATGATTTTATTGAATTCGATTCAGGGTAGTTGATGATAGCTTCCACTTTTTCTTGTAGTGGTTTGATTCCCTGAGAGTCGATGTGATGTCCCAGAAACTCACGACGCCATGCTTTCTGAAGCGGTCAAAGAGGATCTGTAGATGTTGTACATGTTCTTCAACAGATGAGCTGGCTATTAAAACATCATCAATATAAACGAACACGAAAACTAAACCCCTTGTAACCTCATCCATGAATCGTTGAAATGTCTGAGCAGGGTTTTTTTAGTCCGAAAGGCATTCCTAAGAATTCAAACAAGCCAAAAGGTGTGAATATTACTGGTTTTTCAATATCTTTGGGAGCCATCGGGATTCGGTGGTATGCTCTGACAAGGTCGAGTTTCGAGAAAATCTGTTTTCCATGTAGATTCAGTGAAAAATCGTGTAGATGAGGGAATGGATATCCATCTAAAGTCGTCTGATTATTTAGACGACGGTAATCTCCGCATGGGCGACAGTCTTAATCTTTTTTTCGGAACCACATGTAGAGGCGAAGCCCATGGGCTACTAGACTGCCGAATGATGCCTAGTTGCATCATGTGTTCAAATTCTCGTTTTGCAATCGTTAACTTGTGTGGTGGCAGTCTCCTCGGCCTAGCGCATATTGGTGAACCTGTAGTAATTATATGGCGTTGGGTATGATGTAAGGTGTATTCCTTTTGGTAATCCACTCGTGTGATACATTCATATTTTGTCAAGATGTCGGTGAGAACTTTGTTTATTTATTTTATTATTCGAACCCCGTGAATTTCACAGTTATTAGTGATTGTACCATCCACGTGTAGACGGGTGTTCTCATCGACTAGTTTCTTTCCATTCATGTCTACTAACAGGTTGTATGTGCTAAGGAAATCGGCTCCGAGAATCGGTTGCTTGACTTGCGCTACGATGAAAATCCACGTGAAACGTCGTCTAAGTCCGAGGTCTAAGGTAAGAGACTGCTCTCCGTAGGTTATGATGATAGTTTCGTTGGTCGCTTGGAGTGACACCCTGCTGCATGTGGTGTGTCGCCGTCTTGAGAGCTCAAGTGGCATGATGCTTACTTCGGCTCGTGTCTGAACCAGAAATCCGAGCCCTGATGTGGAAAAGATGGCTTGCCGTGTGGCCAGAAACAGTCGCCCTCATCACTGTCTAGCATGATCGTTTCCCTGAGTCTCGTGATAGCTTGTTGAGAATGTGCACGGTCGTGAGCAGCGCAGTGTCTTTGCACCATTTTTTGATAGTACCAACAAATTCCGGTGGTCCCGTTAGGTGGTTCAGACCGTCTAGTCAACACAGTATAGATAACAACAGACATCGACGTTATGACTTTTTGAAGACAGTAAACCCTATCTGTTTTCCGATCTGCAGTAGTGTGCGACGTTGAATGAGGCCAGGTTGAAAGGAACGTGGTTTGGGAAAAGTTGGTCCAGAATTTGGTGATGGCATTCAACTTCCAGTCAGTTAATAACTGGAGATCGCTTACATAGGACAAGGTTCCCACCATAGGCGAGCTGATGTAGAAGTTGAGAAATAAAGGAACACACAAAATAATAAAACGTAATGGACAAGTGACACAATGTGAAGCAAAAACAAATGTGTCTCGTACTTTTAAAGGCTACGTTTTAGTCATCAAGTAAAACAGAGAAAACTGTTGCTTAGTATACTCACCCTTCCATCAATAGACGGATAACTTACATCAGATGTGTGACACAGAGTTAAGTGTCAATCACACAAAGACGATAATTCAGACCGACGCGTGATTATGGTGTTTAGAAGATCAAGAAAAGGAGCGAAACGGACCTAACTTCTGCTATTAGCTACAAAACACCCTTACTGAGCATGTTTATTTCCCTACAAAAGTGAAGTCGGAATTGTTTCCGTTCAGAGTTTTTATTCTGAAAGATAATATAGCTAACTCAAAATATGTAGCTCTGTATAAAAATCGAAATTGTTTATCTATTTGTTTTTGTACATAATTAATAGTTCTCACATTGTTCATAAGACTTAAGTCATACACACTCGCTCCATTGGGCGAGTGTGTATGGTAACCGGTGGTAACCTCCCAGGTTGAACTAATAGTAAATTAGCGACAGGATTATTAAAACGAATTCCAAATTAAACAAACGAACACACTGTTATGGATTCTGGTAACAAATACAACTCAAACACGCCCAATTTTGCTGATTTAAGTAACGTCCCTGAATTTTTATTTGTGATTATAACTTATAACTGGTATATTATAACATTACCGCTTATATTTGATAACTTTATTACTATTTTTGAATCGATAAATTTTCTGTCCACCACTAACTGAATAAATAAAACGGGGAAAAGTAACAGTAACGCACTATTCAAAATAAGATTCAATTCATTATACAATCGTCGTTTGATTACCCTACTTAATCACCTACTTAGTCTTAAAATACAGTGAGTTTCATAACTTTCTCGTCTTCCGTTTTGAAGATTCCATAAGATTTCGAAGTGGAACTTTATGCATATATTTAAAATGGGCGGTGCTATTAATTCCCGGTGAGTTAAATTTACTGTTTTCTGTTTCAGTTTCACTTTGGGAGGGACAGGAGGCTTGATGGCCTGTGTTAGTCCTGGCAACACTAGTCTCTCAATCGATCCAACATTCTTTTGAAAGAGTCGACGGATGGAGCCGCAACCACGTGCGGAGGTAATGAATTCCACTCGTTGATGATTCGGTGGGAAAGTCGATAGTCAGCTGACAAGTAATTTCTTCTGGGTTTTTGAACCTTATTGGAGTGTCCCCGTAGATTCTCTACTTTGGAAGACAAGTAAAATGAGGGCATTTCAGGTGCAAATTTATTGCTAGACAGTATGAAGACTGTAATCAAGTCGCCTTCAGTTCTGCGATATGACAACGGGAAAACGTTCAGCTTGGCCAGTCGAGCTTCATACGGAAGCTTCACTATTCCGGGAATCGGCTTAGTCGCCGTTCTCTGAACCTTTTCCAGAAGCTCACTGTCTTTTTTTAAGCAGGGGCTAGCCGCTTGTATGCAGTACTCAAGTTTGGGACGTACGAACACTGTATACAAAGTCAAAAACGTTTTGGCGTCGACATGACTAAAAGCTCTACGTATTGACCATAACGTTCTAAAAATTTTGGCGGCCATTGCACGGCAGTGTGCAGTAGTCTTTAAGTCTTGGCTAACGATAACTCCTAAGTCATTATATGTCTGGTTGACAGGTAGCTCAGTGTTATTCATCGTGTATGTATCTGTGCCTTGATGACCGATATGCATCACAACACACTTGGAAGTATTTATCGGCAACTGCCATGTTTGAGACCATTCAGATAACTTCTTCAGTTCATTTCGAAGTTCTAAGCTATCACTCTTACATCGTATCGTTTTCCATATCTTGACATTGTCAGCATATAGCAAGACCGATGATGATAGGAGACAAGGAAGGTCATTTACATACAAGAGGAACAGCACTTGCCCCAAAACTGTACCCTCGAGCACTCCACTAAGCACAGTTTCCCAGCTAGATAACTTTGAGTTCACCCTTACTCTTTGTTGACGCCCAACTAAGAAGTCTTTTATCCACATCAATAAATTACCTCCAATCCCGATATGTCTTAACTTATATAACAGCCGGTTGTGCGGAACTTTATCAAAAGCTTTACTGAAATCAATGAAGGCGACGTCTACAGGTAGCTTTTGGTCCATAAGAGCGCACCAGCTTTCACGAGCCACTAATAAGTTAGTGAGACAAGAGTAACCTATTCTGAAGCCGTGCTGCTTCTCCGAGATGATCCGGTTTTTATCGAGATGCTTAAACAACTCCTTCCGAATAATCTTTTCTAAGATTTTACCAACCACACTAGTTAGGCTAACGGGGCAGTAGTTCTCAGGTTTGTGTTTCGTACCTGTTTTGAAGACAGGACTTGCTATGGCGTTTTTCCAGTCTTTGGGTAAACGACCCTGCGTAACGGATAGGTTAAAGCATGTACTTAAAGGGCTTGCAACGAAGTTAGATAATTCCTTCAGTAGCCTAGGATGTAATTCATCGGGCCCCGTGGATTTACCTATGACAAGCTTATTTAGCAGACCAAAGACATTGAGTTCTTTAATGGTCACGCTATCCAGTGTGTGTATGGAGGGATCTGTACACGTTGACGGGAAGGGCGCTTCTATGGTATATACGTTGCTAAAGTAGTTCGAGAACACTTGAGCCTTACCAAAGTCGTCTTCCACTAATGATGAAGCAGTACTGTCTCCCCATAGAGCAGGAATATTTCCTCTTCTCTTTGTCCTTTGGTTTATATAAGAATACAAGCGTTTAGGACATTCTATGGAGTCCTTAACAATCTTTTCTTCGTACAACTTTCTAGACTTACGGAGGGTCGAGGCACTAGTATTCCGAGCCTTTCGATACTGAAATTTTGACTCATCAGTCCCTAGTAATCTAAATCTATCCCACATTTTCCTTTTCTTACGGAGAAGGATACGGACCTCCCTACTGAGCCATGGTGGTGAGTTTTTCGGCCCCTTTTGTATAGTCCAAGGGATGTGAGGTGTGGTAACTTTTAAGTATGAAATTCGAAATGCGTCCCAGGCCGTTTCAATGGAGGACTCTGGGATTATTGTCCAATCTATTAACGATGCTGAATGCATGATGTCAGGTATGTTTCCCTTTTATATCCCTACTTTTCTTTCTTACAACCTGTACCCATTCGTCAACGGTGCTGGTAGAAGCAATAACAGTTGCATCAAACCTAGTGTTGGATTTTGGGGGTTGTCGACGACCTGAGAGGTCGGGTTATGTTTACCGCTTGAAACCGATCGAGCCTTGCGATTGCGGCTTCTAGGCGTTTCCTGTGGGATCCCATCTGGGAGACGGGGAACAGAAGAACCTACTTTTCTTGAGCTTTTGTTTAAGGCAGGCCCCTTTGGAGACTGCTTTTCCTTCTTTGACGGGCGTGAGTAATCTATCATCGGACTAACCTTAGTTTCCTTCACGTTGATTTGCGTGTCAACAGATCGAGTGCTGTTTGGCGCGTTCCGACTATGCTTGCTAAAACACTTCTTTGCAGCATCAACCAGTGAGATGGCCTCGGTTCACAAGCTGTTTGCATCCGAGCAGCACTGTTGACAAAGCCATACACAACCCTTCTTACTGAACCATTTGAAAGCAGCAGGCGTTAAGTTCGTGCAAACTTCGTGGTACCAGCCTTTGCACTCGTCACACTGCATGCCGCTTTCAACAGGATAACGACAACCCGGACGTTGGCAACTGCTTTTTCTACACTGTCCGGTCATTTAAAAGGGTCCTTTTCAAAAAGGAACGAGATGCGATGATGCTCAGAAACAAAAAAAATAATCAATGACCAAAAAGTGAAGAACTGTATATTGTTAGGACCAAAAGTACTAACAGATACAGTTGAAAATGAGGTACTCAAGAGTACCAACGATAAAACTAATTGAGAGAACAGTAAAAACGGTACTCCATTCGAATACTTTAACTAAAATGAATTCAATTGAAGTGAAAACAGTAGTTTTGATACGTAATAAACGATCAAAACAGTGAAATTCACTCAGCGAGGAAAAATACCACTGTCCTTTTTAAATAGTGCGAATTACGCGTCAAACCTGCTATTTACACTTCAGTTGAATTTATTTCGATTAAAGTGATATTTTGCTTGTGTGTATTGATTTTGCTTTTGTGTATTTATTGCATCAAAGCATACGTGGTCGACTTTGACATGATTTATTCAGTTAAGACTTATGATTTTTTATGTATCCGTTTTTGTGTTGTCATCTTTAGTTAATTTTTAAGACAGTCAGCTCTGCTCTCAAATGTATTTAACCATATTGCTTATTGTCTGCGGAAAACAGGATGCGATGTGATGAGTATGAGAATTGGTTCCACAAAATGTGAACCCGTTTAAGTCCCACTGCCTATAAAAGGTTCTCAAAGCCTAACTCTCATTGGCTCTGTATGTTTTGTTGTTCGAGCAAATTGTGACTCATCCACGAGACAATTAGCCTTCTGACGTTGTCTAACGAAAGGTTGACGAGGGCTGTACCGGTAACAAGGGTCCTGAGAGCGTAGAATGCGTCAGTGTCTTAATTGCTCTCATGGCACGTGTCAGACACCCAACTGTGCAGCACGCGATAGAGCTTTCTGTCCTGAAACAATTAATGAACGATACACCGTTGGATACCGATGGCCAAGCTGATACAGCGGCGACTAATGATCCAGACAAAACCATTATCGTCCCGAGTGGATGCCGTAGATAACGGTCTGTCTGTCGACGTGATATTCATAGACATTAACAAGGCCTTCGACAATATTTCACACTTAGGTATTATGTTAAAGCTCTCGAACTTAGAAATGACAGGTGCTGTACAGGAATGGATAGGAGACCTCGTATGTGACCGCAGACAAAAATGAGGGTCATTGGAACGCTATCCGATTATAGACCGGTCAAAAGGGATGTACCCCAAGGCACCATCTTAGGCCCCCTACTTTTCCTTCTCCACATTAATGAAATACCGCCTTTTCTTAAGTTATCGACATCATTGTTTGCGGACGATGTTGAACTCTGGAGTAAAATAAGGAGTGAGACTGATCGTTTCGATCTCCAAGCTGACTTAAACGAATCATTTAACGGGCTCGAGGTTGATGCTTAGAGGTTAATTTCAGAAAGATTGTGCTCATGCACATCGGATAAGGTAATAGTTACCATTATACCATTCATGGTACATATCTTCCACGCGTTCAAGAAGATTAAGACTTCGGTGCAATAAAAAGTCATGACTTGAAAACAACTATGCATTGCGACGCAGCTGTTGCCAAAGTTATCGTGCGCTATGGTCATTTCGCCGAGCGTTCAAATGCTTTGCCGAGGAGATGTGTCGAATTTTACATCCCACCTATATAAGATCACAAGCAGAGTACTGTACCCAAGAAGCTAAACGATGTCTGAGCGTGTTCAGCGTGTGGGATTAAAATTAGTGAATAGTCTTTATAGACCTCCTTAAAACGAGTATTAAAACGCCCAAACCTTAGAACGGCGTACACACCAACGATCTGATGCAAATCTGTGATAAGGTGCCTTCAGCTACAGTGTGTCCAGTAAAACTAATGAGATCAGTATCAATGCCGAAGACATACAAATTACTGTTCTATAAGTCAGTTACAGCCGGATTAACTAAATAGTAACTTTCCAACAACAACACTTTGTTATTATTATTATCTATTATTTGAGCACATGAATATTGGTACAAGAGTGCGCCAAATATATATGCGCCACACAAAACAATGAGAATTTAAAGAGAAGGAAAACGAAAAAAGTAAGGAGCTTAAAAAAGAGAGAGAACGATAACGAAGAGATTGGTGTAAGGTAGTGTAATAATAAAAATAGTAATAGTAGGGGAACAGAAAGGTACAATCATAAGAAGTCTTTCAGTTAAGGAAGACACAACCACTTTTTACGAAGAAAGTAAAAGAACGTTACAGCAGGATCGCCACTGGCTTCTATT